CTTCTTGCACTTCAGGATTAGTAATAATAAAAGCAATTGCCTGAACACTTCGTGCTGGGATAGTCACAGCTTCGTTCTTGAAAAATGGGATACTTAGGTTTTCTATTTTCAAAACTTCAGCTTCGTAATCTATTATGGCGTTATATTTTTTCAGAAATTCGGATCCAAGAATTGCGTCTTGCGGAAAAGTTATTTCGTCACTGACTACCTGGAATTTTGCTGTTCGATTTAAAATTTTTAGTTCAGTAGACCCCTTTGTTTCGATAGGTATTTGAGATATTCCACGTAGTGTCAGGGTATCTTGGTTATTTATATCGGGATCTTTCAATGCACTTAATTTTACGATATTCACTGAGGAACCCGTGTCGATCATAAAGTTACAATTTTTTGTTAATTGTTCTGCACTCAAAATTACGCTCGGTAATGTGGCAAAAGATTCAATATTCATAATTGTAACGGTTCGAGCTTCCGAATTTATTTCTGTATTGTTATTTTCTTTTCGCGTGACGACTCTGGTTGGGAGGATATTAGTGCGGGGCGCATAATATTCTGGGCGGTACCCTGGCTCGCGCCCTGGGTGGCCGGGTTGCCCAGGTCGTTTCCCGAGTTTTGTTGCGCATTTTTGTAAGCTAATTTTTTGCATGCCGATATATCATGACCCGGAAATTTACAATATCGACATATACTTGGTGAATTAGGTCCATGCATTCCTGGGATAAGCGGTCTGATAAAAGGACGAGGAGCGTCAAAAGATCTAGTCGGTATTTGTGTCGGGTGATTTATTCTTCCAGGGCCGGATTGAGAGTTGTAAAAATCAGCTCGCAGTGGTCTGCGTTCTACCGGATCACGAGGAATGTGCCTTTTTTCGCGGGCTTTTTCGACTTCTAGGGTATGAGATAATTTTACAGCCCACTCAATAGCTTGATCAATATTGTTAATAGGGCGATGCTCTATTCGCGTTATTAGATCAGATGGTAATCCATTTACAAATGCTTCTAGCACTTCTCTGTCAATTTCATCTATAAAAGCTTTATCTACGCCACCTCTTTCCCTTCGGTAACGATCTAATATTGCGGCTTTTAAATCTTTAATTCGTCCAGCATATTTTAAAACAGTTTCATTCGGAGACTTGTATATATTTGCTAATTCTCCTCGATACTGAGAGACTGTTTTATCAGGGGCTAAGATTGTTTTCAATTTGTCTAGAAGGCCAGTTACAGTATCATAATAATTTCCTTCTACGATTCGATATGCGTCGCCTTCTAATTTATTAATTATAAGTTGTACTAACTGGGGTTCTTGTGAAGAAGGTAGCAAATCCCGTGCTCGTTCACATGCTTGCGCGAATTGAAACACTGATATTTTATATCCGTCATAATTCGATATATTCGGTAACACGTT